GTACTATGTTACATTGCAATTTAAAACAAAAAAGAAAAGGAAGAAAAACTAGACAGGTAGTTGCAACCATTAAACCATTATCTCTCTGAACAGGCCACACATTTAATGGTAAAACAATACTTCATACCTGGAACACATTGGTAATGAGCTTCTAGGTACTTGGTGGTCTTAGGACAAGGATCTCCAAACACTGTTGTAGATGCTGGAATTTTGCAGCTTCTCCTCATTCCACAGCTTGAACGAATAAAAGTGTCAGTTGTTGTAAAGCAATTAAATACAGCCATCTATAGTATGAATCTGCGCGTGTATATTTTATTAGTTAGGAAGATTATGTTCTTATGTTATTATAATGAGTGTCATGTTTAACTGATAATCTGATAAAATCCAATTTATATTAATTTTGAGAACGTAAAACAAAATGTTCTTCAGCTTTTGGTTTTTAAAGAAATGAGCCCAAAAAAAATGAGAGAAACTGAAGATCCTAATTAATACCAATAGTTATACATTTCGAAGCTAATTCTCGGAACTGTAAGTTGTCTTGAAAATGTATTAGCATTAGATATCTCTATTATATCTTGGTTTCACAGATTATAACAGACATAAATATTATAGAGAAAACTGGAATGTTTTAAAGACCTGGAGGTTTTAACAAGAAAAATTTATTGAGGCTTCTGTCGTTTAAATGTTATCAACGCTTACACAGGTGCTCTTATTTCAAGATTTGTTTTAAAAAATAAAATAATATCTTAATATATATAATTTAATTACTTTCATATTTTTGTATTTTATTTTAATTTCTATATAATTCCCTCATCTAACCTAATACGTTATCCTGTCATGACTTTTACTTTTTCTAGTTTTTATGTTATTAATGTTTGATGATAAATGCAAAGCGCGAAACTTTTGTCGTGTACTGTACGACACAGCATTATATTCTTAATTGAAATCGTTTTTCCTAGCATGCGTATTGTTCGTTTTTCACGAGTAAGGTAATTTAACTTTCGCCATGTTTGACGTATACAACGCTTCTAATTATCTTATTTTCTGTGTATTATTTATCTTGTGAGTCACGTATTCAGAACTGTAACGTCATGAGTTCTAGGTTATTTTAAAATATATAGGACACTGAATTGTTACAATGTTTAAGGCATTTAAGTTGCGTGTAGTTAGGGTGTTCGTGTAGCATTTTACACAATTACTTAATGTAGAAAAGAGAAAGAAAAATACAAATAATTTTAAGATCCAATTCATTACATAAAATTCACCTAATGATAAAAGCACATCAGTAAGAATATATACTAATATAAAGACAAAAGAAAAGCTATAGTGTGTAAATGTACTTCTTTATCTTAAGACAAAGTTCAAAAACTCTTGTGAATTACGTGATTATAATTATGAACTCCCACAGAACGATTCTGGTTTCCTTTTAACTCTTTTTCCTTTTTTTTCCCAGGCTTTTGATATAAGTTATACTCCAGTTATATCAGTTTTTATGTGCAACATGGACATAATATACGTTAAGAATATGCTATTTCAGATAGTTAACTTGAAAAGTAATTCAAATCGAGCTTTTGCGACAAGAGCCTGTATATTCGTAAGGTTTTAAAAGTATTTGTTTCATGTAGATTAAACAATTGAATATTATCTTCTTTACACAAGTGAAAGTGTCCAAATTGCGATAAAATTACTAACACAGTTTCAGTTACTTGAAATGTCAACAATGTTCTTATTGATACTTGTAGTAATTTTTGATGTACCAAAGTATACTAAACAGGCCATTTAAAACGCCATCAACTTATTAATCCATAAACGTATAAAATCTGTAAATATCGTTACTTTCAACCAAGAATATACTGGTCAGTAGCTAAAACAAAAACTGTTCTGTGATGTCGAATTAAAACAGTAGGCCTTAATGTTAAGTATATTTTCATTATTCAAAAGATAAGTCATTAACTTTAGCAGAAGATACGATAATAAGAACTCTCACTTCCTCGTAAAACATTCGGGTATTGACTCACCTGTCTTGCATGACTCTGAAGGACAGTGGCGACATACAGTTTACGCTCCACTCTAACGCTCCTTGCTCGTTGCAGATACTAATACTGAATCGTCCATAGTTTGCTCGAATCAAGCGAATTAAGTAACCACTATCACACGCAATGTGCAGGGAACTTCCTTCACAGGCATATGCTGTTCGATAACGTGGTCTACCTACAAAAAGAAGCGCCACAGTTATACCGAGTTGTCATTGTTTCGCAGAGAAAATATAGCGTACTAAGTATGCTTGCCATTGCGTTTATTAAGTGGATTTCACTATTCATTCAAAATAAATCATTCGATGATATGATGAATGACTTGCAAACTTTGTGTTTCAGAATTTTCTTGTTAGTACACTGTTTAAATTCAAAGGTTCAAGTATGTACAGCGATGCTTATTAACTCACATGCAAGCGTTGCTGATAGATGTTAAACGGCAGTTTTCATCCTTCTATGGTTTGGAAAGCATACCAAACGTTGTCTGAATAGAGGCCCGGCATGGCCAGGTGGACTCGCAATCTGCGGGTCGCGGGTTCGAATCCCCGTCACACCGAACATGCTCGCCCTTTCAGCCATGGGGGCGTTATAATGTGACGGTCAATCCCACTATTCGTTGGTAAAAGAGTAGCCCAAGAGTTGGCGGTGGGTGGTGATGACTAGCCGCCTTCCCTCTAGTCTTACACTGCAAAATTAGGGACGGCAAGCGCAGATAGCCCTCGTGTAGCTTTGCGCGAAATGCAAAACAAATTGTCTGAATAATACAGCTTTTTCAATTATTTTCTGTGACGGTCTACATCTATTGTTTATATCGTTAATTGTCTCAACACTTACTGTGCTATGCTAACTAATCTTGATTGTAGACGTCAATCACTGCAGCTCATTACTGAGTACAAAGCCTCTGAGAACCCCGCAGGGCGAGTGACAAAGATAGGCATTGCGGATGTTCCAAGCGAGATCAGGCAGCGCGTGGTGTCAACGGTTAAAAACACAAACGGAGCAAGCAGCCCTCGAAAATCCTCTTATGTTTTTCTAAATCTAAAAAAAAACCTGCCGACCAAGCATAAAGAACATTCACTATATCCAGAGAATGACTCACAAAAAAGAAATAAAATTAAGTGAAGGATCACATAACTGTCTGAGCTTATCAATTGTTCCATTTCTCTATCTCCTGTTTATTTGGCTAACAGCTTTAATGGGGTATTTGCCGCTGAAGTCTTCAACCAGTGACTGCTTTGTTTTTAGCACTCAACGAACAGCCCATTTTCATTAGTTAAAGCCAATTCTCATGAGCGGTAACAGTTAAGAGTTCATAATCCATATTTCTACGTTTAGTAATGGCTATACAGAGAACAAAAAATATGGCACTTGTGTCGAGAGGTTCTCTTTTCAATGAATAGCGGAAGAGGGCAGAGACATGGCAAACACACCACGTTTAAAGATGAATTAAAACACATTGCACACGCTGAAAACAAAGGGATCGTGGAGATTTGAGTCCTTGAATAGACCCGTTGCTGTTCATGCTTTGTGTTACTGTTTTGATTATTGTTTTTGACATTTCATTTTACATCTTAGGTTAGCCCAAAAATTCAAATAGAACAGTAAAAAAGTTTTCACGTATTTGACTTTACGCTATTACCTTATAAAGAGATTCAAACGTTAAAGGAAAAAAATACACATAGATGTGCTACTGAGATGATTATTACATACTGTGTCAGCTAAATGTTGACATTAATATTTTTTAAATAGTTTTCTCATATCGTTTAAAGGCAAAATACAGCCTCTGAAAACACTACTCCTGATCATCTGATGTGACAAGCTACCCTCGCCAACAGTGGTAATAGTGGGTCAAGGTATTACCTTAAAACCTAGTTATAATACAATTAAAGAGGAATGTTTAGTGTTGTGTGACGGATTTATTATTATAAATTTATTTTAATATCGATGTTTGTTTAGATTAAATTTCTATTTAGAAATGTACATAATTTATACTGTTAAATAGGTATTTTTACTTTGACCATTGTAAAATTAAAATAAAAGGATGAATCCCACACCAGACTCGTTTATTTTGTGAGGGTTGTCGTTAGGTATCTTTGTTCATAGTCTCATTTGGATTGATAAAAATACAGTTGAATTGTAGCCTAAAATATGCGTTTTTGACCTCTAGTTTACAAAAGTTCGAATGGGAACCTAAATCTAAGACATGAAAAATAACATCTGGAATGTATGGGGATCAATATATATATATATATATATATATATATATATATATAACTCTACTATTACATATATAATAATAAGAGTGCGACTATATATTAGTGT